CCCCAAAACCCCAAAACCCCGTATTATGCTAATAATAAGATATAAAAAGATTATGATATATTATTTTATAGAAAATAAAATGTTTGGTCGGTCACATATTAATACTTTCTAATAACCTAATATTAACAATATGACTCCTTTGTAAAAGGCTAATGCATTTTCATTACTTGAAAAAGAATTGCAAGTGCAATAACAGCTAGAGAAACTTTATTTCAATCAAGAATCGGATATTGGATAAAATTAAAGTTAAAGTCAAATAAAACTTAATGTATACAATTATGATTCCCTCAACTAAGATGACACGTTACTGAATCAATAACTAACTAATTATTTTGAGAATTAAATGTAGTAACAAAGTAAAATTAGTTCCGAAGAGGAAAAAAAGGATGAATAATCTGAGTTTAATTATAACTTTAAGCCTATTTTCTTACATGCTCATCAATATCACTATCATCAATAAACACATCCCTAGTATTTGAACAGAAATCAGATGAGTTAAAATCCATATTAATAAACATATTGGCCTCACCAATCATATTCTCAAGCGCAGAATTTCTCAGCATATCAAAATTAATAACCTTTTCAGAACTATTAATAAGTATCTTCATTGGAAAAAGCAAATCAATGGTATGAGCATTAAAGAAAAGATAAGCTAGTTGATGATAAGTTTAAATATAAGAAATTTCAAAGAAAGCTATCTAAATTGCTCAAATCCAAAAAGTACAAGAAATTGAGATATATTTGCCATACAGAAATACATAGAGATATGTTGGAGAAGGCATTCAATTAATTCAAAAGTATTTTTCCAGTTAATAATATCATTTTCAACGAGGAAAAATAATAGATCAGAACAATTGCTATTGGTGATACCAAACTTATTACTGTTTTCATATTTGAGAATTAGAAATAATGAAACTATAAGGATTTATCACAACAAGTTAAGATTTCAATTTCTTTATTTTTATGTGCTGATTATTTTACTCTATATTACATTTTGGGGTTTTGGGGTTTTGGGGTTTTGGGGTTTTGGGGTTTTGGGG